AATCGTCGAGCCGCTTGAGCAATCGCGTTGGTAATCATTGTTCGGGCCCACGGCGAGTATTTATCGAGCACGCGTGGGCTCGTAGCACGCCTAAATAATACATTGCATCTTCGGTTAAACCTACAGAACGTCGAGTTGTTCCCGGCATGCGCCTTGCTTGTGCTTTGCCCATGGATAGAACATAGCCTTTGTTGTTTAGACTGTGCACCGCATCTGTCTTACATAACTCCTGTGCATCATCGCAGGGTGGAAGAAGACGGGCTCGAAGTTGATGCATACTGTGACGAATGTGGTTAATGGTTCGCCGAGAAGAGAAGGATGTACCGAGATAGGGACTCTCACCGGTGCCCAGTTGCTGTTGCTGCCTCGCAGTCCTCCCCACGAAGGCATCGGGTCGGTCATGTCCTTCTTCGATGCGGGTGTCCAGTACTGTGATTTTGTTTTGCGCTCCACTTCCCAACCGAGGCATCCGGCCGGGGCTTCTGGTGGTGAGCGGCACAGAGGTCCGGCGAAATGTCGTTCTGCGTCGCCCCTTGGTCCAGCTACTTTACAGTACATCGATCACTTGCTCCCTCACCCTCGTGCAATCCGGATCGCTGTGAATGGCGGTCAGCTGTACCACGCCCAGACTACACCATGAAGAGAACGCACGGCGAAACCGCCGAAGATGGGTCTGCAAATTGATTCAGTCCCGGGCATCGCTTGAAGTCAAAACAATGATCGAAACGAGCTACAGTTCTATCTGTTTGAACCCAAACGCGGCTGTTCCGTTCTATATGAGGTCTGTTACTCTGTGCAAATCCGCATCTCCAATCCTCTGCGCGAGACTGATTTCGAAAGTCACAATCGGGCGAGGGATGGATGTTGGCATGCTTATTTTTGGGCGAGATGTGTTGTCACCCTTCTCCCCAAGCAGCGCTAGGGTTTGTACCTTCACGAGCATTTTTTTGCGATGCGCGCCCGCCCGTGCACTGATATGCTTCGAGCGTTTTCAGGGTGTTCTATTGAGGGCGTGACCGACAACGTGTGCGGTCAAGAAACGTGCACTCCCGGAGATTAAGGGTACTCTTGTGGTGAGAGAAGAATATCGGCCCGAAAAGCATGCCAATAGTAAATTACCGTTCTGGTCCATCCTCTTCATCGAGGGTCCTGGGCAGTCGACCAAATGATGCTGTTCATCCCGAAACAATTGCTTCTCTTCTCCATGTTTAGGAACTAGATATTGATTTACATGCTCAGGTTGCACCAAGACGCCATCTGCTACGAATAAGATCGTTGTTTGACGTTTCAGCTGTTGACGCCCCCTAATCTGATGGCCTACAAAGGCAGTGTGATCTGCACCAAGCAAACATGCATCGCAACCTTCCAGTTGCAAATACCGCCTAACGAGCGCCTGAACCGATGTGCCGGCACGAATCCCTTAGGTTGCAGTTGCAACCGCCGTTTTTCTCCGAACCCATTCAATATATACCATAAAAAACTCTCTGAAGCAGTGATGTCTTGTGAAAGTGTGATTATTGTACCACTGTCGGTTTCCCTTCTTGGCTTGGCTTTCCCGCCCCCCGGCGGGGGTTAGGGTGAAGCATGAGTACCTGGTGAACCCCTCGTGTGTCCAACCGAAATAAATCCTCGAACTCCCACCAATTTGCTATCTCGCAGCAGCGGCCACACTTGCGCCTGTGCCTGCACCTGCACTGGGCACGGCCGTGCCGGAATCTGCCGTACAACCTACGCCGGCACCCGGCTCGAGCTCAGAAGGTAAGCTTCCGAACCTGATGCCGCATCTCCCGTTCAACTGGGACATGCCGTATTGTCACAAGCAGAGAACCAAGTCGTCGACCATTGACATATCCCCGGCTTTTGCTCCAAACATTGCCAGTTTACTACCATCCGGAGTGCAACCTGGTATCGCTCGGCAGTTGCCACACTTGTGCCTGCGCTTGCACCTGCCGCCGGCCCGGAGTCTGTCCCACAACTCACGCCGGCCCCCGGCTCGAGCTTAGAAGGTAAGCTTCCTAACTTGATGCCGCATCTCCCGTTCAACTGGGGCATGCCGTGCTGGTAAAAGCAGGACCTAAGCCGTCGAACATTGACATATCCGCGGCTTTGCTCCAAACATTCGCAGTTCACTACCATCTGGAGTGGTACTTTGCCGCACTCAAAACCTTCCGCCTTCGCGCCGTTCTCAAAGCTACGTTGTTCTATCCTGCCTATGTCGGGGCTAGGAGACTACACCGCTAGTGACCGAAGGGTGTCAGTTTCTCCTAGTGCTCGTTTCCGACCTCCGTTCCTTGTGTGCTTTCTACCCGCTGTGTAAGGGTCATGGTCTATGGTGTGATAACCCCTAACGAGAGTGCCTGAACCGCTGTGCCTGCAGGAATGCCGTAGGTTACATGTGCGACCGTCGTTTGTCTCCAAACCCATAACATTCTTTGAAGAACTCTCTCAAGCAAAGTGAGTCTTCCGAAAGTGTGATTGTTCTTCCAGCTGATTGAGTGCACGCATCCATGCCACCAAGGAAGGTCGCATGTCGTATTTGGCTTGCTGGCTTGGCTTTCCCGCTCCTTCGGCAGGAGGTAGGGTGAAGCATGAGTACCGGCGAACCTCTTGCTTGTCCAACCCACATAAATCCTTCACGTCAACCTGGTATCTAGAGGCAGCGGCCACACTTACGCCTGCGCCTGCACCTGCGCGACCGCGCCGGAATCTGCCCCACAATCTACACTGGCACCTGGCTCGAGCTCAGAAGGTAAGCTTCCGAACCTGATGCCGCATCTCCCGTTCAACTGGGGCATGCCGTATTGACTACATGCTGAACTAAGCTGTCGAGCATTGACATATCCGTGGCTTTGCTCCAAACATCGCCAGTCCACTACCATCCGGAGTGGTATTTGTCCGCACCCAAAACCTTCCGCCCTCTTCAAGGCTACGTTATTCTATCCGGCAGGTCACGGGGCTAGTGACCATCACCGCTAGTGAATGAAGGGTCTCAGCTTCTCGTAGAGCTGTTTTCCGACCGTTGTTGCTGGTGTGCTTCCTACACGCTGTGTAGGGATCATGGTCGTTTATTTGCGGGGTACTTTGCTTTTCATTGTTGGCGAATAACTCCCTACAATACCTCGTGGTTGATGTCGACGTGATCGTGTTCGGCGGAATCTAGCATTCTCCCTGACAACGTACTGCAAATGATAGGAGGAGGGTATACAGTGGTGATCTTATGCGCAATGCTCACGCGATCGCGACGTGGCGCCGCCAACTAGTGACCCATAGGCGCCTATTTTTTCGTTTTCTCCAGGTGAAATACCTCGACACTGCTGTCTCGCATGGGTTTCTCTCTGCCTCAATTCTCCTTTTCTCACACCATCCCCTGTCACCGTCCCTCCACGGGTCGCCTCAGGAGGGGAACGGTTGCCTTGTTGAAGAGGGCATGGCGTCACGACTCAGACGAGCTTGGCTTTGCCGATGTAAGCCCGTTTTGAAACCCCCATGAAGAAGTACATGTCTATGCTCTCGTTCGTGTTTTTCTGTCCACTGTTAGCCGTTTTTTTTCCCTGGCGATTCAGTGTTTGGCTTTATTAAGCCAACCCCTTGTCGGTTCCCTCTTCGAACTCCCCTGCGGTGTACTTTTCTGTAGGATTCGACGCTCGCTTGTTCATTAGTTTTTGTGTCTACCAAAATACCTGCGCTCAGCTTGCGCCTACCGATAGGCAGGGTCAACCCGCCGCCGCAAGAGTTTCTGGGCAATGTTTGAGAGCGGGTGGCTTTCCACCTTCATGGTGGATAGCTACTGTCCTGATGTCCAGAATACCCTCACTATTGCCGATACGATGACCCTCCCCGGTTGCCATTGCACCTCCAAAGTACCAGGTAATTGTTTGGGGACACGGGCAGTTGCACACCCGCACATGATTGTTTGATGCGGCGGTGAGATCGCAAAGACTGGCCCTGAAATACTTCGGGTTGATACGTCGAAATGTCGTTGTCCTGGTACCAGCTATTGCCTATCGGAGTGCCGCCTCCATCAACGCTCATCGCTGCTCCTCCGCTGCTCGTCTGGACAAAGAAGGCGCATCGACGGTGGGCGTTGTAGTCGGCGTTGTGGCCGCGCGCTGGCTTTAGCAGCACTGGGGTTCTTCCTACGTCGCCGACGGGCCGCGAAGAGCACGGACCCCGACCCGCCGGCCCCTCCTTTTTTCGGTGGGGACAGCCTGGAGCATGGCCGGGGGGAACAACACCAGCAACTGCAGCAGGACATTCACTCCTCTTCGCCGATCGTCGCCGGCTCTGCCGGGGACAACGTTACCCGCGGCCCACCGCCTCCTGCCCGGCAAGACTCCCCGCCGCCGCCCCCACCGCATGCGCATGATGATGCTCACCAGCGCGATAGTTGGCTACCCGCCGCCGGTCAGCAGCCCGCGGCGGTCGTCGCTGAGACAAAATTCGGCGAAGATGGCACGCCCATCCAATCGTTGCTCCCAGCTCCACCCGTGGACACCCTGCCGGAGCCCAGCTCCGAGGAAAAACCCAAGCGCACACGCGACAACAACGAAAGCGGTGTTGGCACTAGGGCGGCGGGTGCAGGCCGGGGCCGGGCCGGGGGCGATGCGGCGGAAGACGGCGGCGACTGCGTGGCAGCAGCCGAGCAGTCGTTGCTATCATTATCGACTACGAACTCCACCGCCGATGTGTCGACGGAAAAACGGGCCGTCGAGGTTGCCGGGTTCGGATTTTCGGCGGAGGAAAGGACGGACGGCTCTCCTTCGGCGGCTGCTGCGGTTGCTGCTGCTGCTGCTCCTGCTAGCGGCCGCCGACGGACGTCCAGCGGCGTCGGGTACGGCCAGGCAGTACTGGCGGCTGCAGAGGAGCTGGCACATCATTGCCAGATCCCCGGCGTCAGTGAGGCAGCGACGGCGGTGTCGATTCTGATACACTTGGTCTTGGACAGTCGGGACTTGACGAGTCGGGCGGAAGCCGGGGTTAAGCAGTGCCGGTCGATCGTGATGATGCTTGAACGGGAGGCCAAAGTGCTCGGCAAGGTGAGCTACATTACTCGTGTTTGTGTGTGTGTGTACACCATGCGTGTCCTGCCTAATTTGGAGACGTCGGAGGATGTTGGAGACAAGCTTTCTTCTTGGCGTACACACTGAATTTTCAGGTACAAGTACGGTCAAAGATCTATCACGTGGTGTCGTTCGGCTGTTCCTGCAGAATCGCGCAGTTGTCTCCGCCACAATGACACGATCAGGCATTTCACTGCCTCATGTTCCCGGGTTTCGCTTGGCTTTTGTTTAAGCCTTAGGGGCCATAACCTGCGGTTTGTGCCTCATGGAAGATTTTGCCGTCTTTGTCCGGCACGGAAACCTACATTTTTTGCCACGGGTCCGAGAGGTTGCGCCAGTACGTGTTCTGTAGTCGTACGTGGTCTAATGTTTGTGCTGTTTCGTATCATGGAATCTAGCTGTTTCATAAATTGCACAATATACAAGGAGCACATGCTTTGATCAGGTTGCCAGCGTTTGTAGTCGTTCTCTTGTTACGATTAGATTGGATTCATGAATGACAAAACGTTGTGTGTAGGCGTAGGAACGCCTGATTTTTGGCGGCTGGTGCTTTGGTCGTTGAGTGTTTGCTGAGGCGACGCCCACACGACCCCCACGGCCAGCCTCTCTGCTGCTTTGCGAAAGCGGTGCGTTGTGTGCGACGGCGAACACATTGATTTCTCCGTTGTGCAATCCTTAGCGCTCGACTACTGCTATCTACATGTAGGGTGGCGACACGAGCGAAGAGGATGAGCGCGTTTTGATCGAAGAAGTGCACGACGCCGTCTCCGATCTCGTGGAGCTGATCAAAACTTTCCAAAACAAGAGCAAACTCGCCCAGGTGTTGACATCGTCCCTGTTCAAGCGGCGCCAGGACGAGCTGAACGCGGTTATGGACAGGGCCATCTGGGGCCTGCACGTGAGTGCCGTGTACCACAAAGCAATGCGCTATATTGAGTATGGATTTTTCCTCGACTGCGCAGCCAGCTGCGCTAAAACATGCGTTGTTGTCTCTCTCATGTCTAGCTTCTTCTAAGGGCTCGCTCTGTGCACGTCGTTCATTGAAAAGAAACGTCTATGCGGGGTTTTGGGGACTTGTAATCCCGTTTCAGAAATCACGATTTTGCTTTTGGCAACGCGGGGTACACGTAGTGGGAATTCCTCGTAGAGGGGTCTGGAACGGTTTCCATCGGACGAATGTAAGGTTGCCTCATGGCGCTTCTCACGTCGACCGACTTGTACAGGGTGTTCTGACCTCGGTTGTCGCGTTACCGCCTGCCGGTTTCCATATTGGCTGCTTGGTGTCGCCCAGTTGGGCCTGCAGGTGCAGGTGGGACACAACGTTGCGCAGGTGGGGCACGACGTTGGGCAGGTTCGACACGACGTGGCGCACCTTGTCGAGGTGAGGACGTGCCACGGAGATGAAGCGAACTCTATGCAGAATCCTTCGAATTCCAACGCGGTTGCTGCTGTATGCATAGCCCGCCGCAGGTTGCGCCTCGGTGGCTTGTACTAACCACGGGATAAGCCATGTACAGGGCCCTTTCGAGGACACCCCGTTTCCACCTTCTTCGCCGACTCGCCTCACCTTTAGACCGAATCCCTTCCTATGGGTCGGGAGGGTTCAGTCAAGCAGCGTTTAACGATTTGTGTTTGGACATGTGCCTCTTGATGACTTGACGTTCGTCTCTATATTACAGAGGTCCACGGCGGAGGCTCAGGCGGAATCTCTGGCTGAAGCCCGCAGGTCGAGGCGGCAGCGAAAGCTTGATCAGATCGAAATCCCCGAGGACCACGTGTCGATCACAAACGAGATGCTGGGAAAGGGGGGATTTGGCGTGGTGTACCTGGCCGACTACAACGGCCACAACGCGGCGAAGGTGTGCGTAAGCCATGCTCGACTGGTAGACCAAAGCAGCTGGGAGTAATAAGTACCGCCGAGCGACCGAGTAGGGCATGCCTGGGGAGCGGAAGCACCAACACCCAACCACCCGCAGGAGTCATTTTCCACCCCTTGTTTGTTTCCCGCTGTCGTGCTCTGTCTGATTCTTGTTCGGTTTCTTATCAACGGTGGTATGGCTGGACGATACAGGTACAGCACATCACCCACGGTCTCGGGAAGCCGGGAGAGAGCGACATACCACTGAGTGGGCCAAGGATGGGCGAGTCTAACGCACTGCGGGAGAAGGCCGAGCGCAAGGCATTCCTGCGCGAACTGGACGCCATGATTCGCCTGAGAAACCCTCATACCGTCAACGTCTACGGGGCGATCACCTCGCTGCCGGGCCGCCTGGTTCTGGTCATGGAGCTGCTCGCGGGCGGTGACTTCGGGCCATGCTGAAGAACTTTGAGCACCCGCTTCCCGAGGATAAGTGCCGGAAGATCATCCAGGATGTATGCGCGGGGATGGCCTTCCTGCACAGCAAGGCGACGGTGCATGGCGACCTTAAGTCTGCCAACGTTCTTCTGGATGGCCGCGGAAGGGCAAAGGCATGTTGGGCGTCTGGGGGTTGTCTTGTGCCACAAGTGCTGTAGATCTTGTCGTATTTCCGCGCTGGTTTTGGTCCCCGCCTTTCTTTCGAAGGGTTGTGGACGTACCCCGCGTTCCTGTCGCCGCGGCTCTGACGAGAAACATACACCCCCTTTGTCTACATCTGTCGCTACAGGATGGCTGTCATGTAGTGGTTGTTGTTGTTGTCTGTGGTGGAGCTGGTGGTTGTGGTGGTGTTAAATCATACGGAAGAAAGAGCCGGCTCTACCCAGTTCCTCATATTCCATACATTTGCAAATGGGTTCGGTTGTGTACAGTAAGTGAAGTTCAAACCCAAACTATGGACCACAAATTACATATCAATACATAGTTTCATATCCTGCTGATGCGTCATGTTGTCCCTCCAGATTGGGGACTTCGGCAAGTCGAGGTGGGCTCAGAACACCGAGAGATCCACAGGCCTTGCCACCTCCACCACAAATCCGGGACCAAGTGCCCACGTCAGCTTTGCATGGACTGCCCCAGAGGTGAGGAGACGGCCTGTGATTCTATCGTTTTCCCTGATGGGCTTTTACGGACGGTTGGTACCAACAAGGACGAGGTGCGGGGTATGAGCCTCTGTTGATCTGGAAAAATACCAAATACGCCTGTGAACCGAACGAATGCACGCGCTCAAATTCATTGCGGTTGAGATGCACTTTGTGCTGAATTCCCGCACGGCTTGAAGGTGTGAAGGTCATGTGATACATGCAGAGAATCAAGACGGAATGACGTGCTCTCGAAACTATCCGCTGCATATTGTCAGCCATTTGCGTACGTTGGCGTTTCGTGCAACAATTTGGTCTTGGAAGCTCGACGTCGTCTCTGTGCCTTTGAAATTGTCCCCCAGCTGTTACTTCTTCTCCAACGGAGAACTATATTGTGGCGATTGTTGTCTCTTGTGGTGCCATTGCGAACAAGAAAAAATATGTACCAAGGGCCGTTGGTGCTGGCGCACCCCCGCTCAAATTGTGCGATTCCCAAGAAAATGTTGGTGCTGCTGTGCGTCCGTGCCCCATCATCTATAGGTCCCTGCACTCTGTAGATGAAAATGTCAACATTCTTGGCGCTGCTCCGCGCCGGCTAGTGTGTGTACGTCACGACGGTTTGAGGGATTTCAAACGAATTTCAAAACAAGATCAGCTTGACTCCAGCAGGACTACAATACTCTACTATGAGAGACCTTAGCCACACCCAAGTGCGAAACTAGATGGGCGTTGCTGAGTGGATGTCGATGGTTGTAACCGGAGCACATGTCGCTGACTTGTTTCCGGAAACGGTGCAAAGCACGCATCACCAGAGCCCTCTAGAATCACGCGTTCTGCTTCAAAGCAATAGACAGTGCCTCTGCCGTGTCAATACCGGCTGCACGAGAGCACTGAGGCAGATTCCCGGTGCTCTTGGTGCTTTATGTGGGCGGTGCTTAGTCGGGCGGGCATCCATCCGAAATGGGCCAATTGGGAAATTGACGGTGCTGCTCTCTCGTCGATTGCGCTCCGGCGATCCAGCGATCCTAGAAGGAAAACAAACATAGGAAGGCCTTCAACACTAGTAGTTGCAAACGTGTACTGGGCTATGTTGCGATTCGGATGTAAATTGCACTGTGCATGCCACCCCCTTCGGCGTTGTGATTGCGCGTCTGACATTCGCTTCTTCCATCTGCGCGCGAGAAGGTGCTGGAGTCCAGTAAAACCTCCAAGGCGAGCGACGTCTACAGCTTTGGGATGGTGGTGTAGGAGGTATTGACAAGACAGATACCTTGGGCGAACGAAATTCGGCCTCGAGACATCTACCTCCGTGTTGTCATGCGCGAGGAACGCCCCGCAATTCCCGCGGACGCCCCCCTAGATATCGCAGAGATGGTGCGCAGCTGCTGGGCCCAGGCGCCCATGGACCGCCCTACGTTTTCAGTGTTTTGCAATGGGGGGAAAGTCCGACCGACGGCTTTGAAGAAGAAATAGCTCTTGATTTCGAAAAACGCATGTAAAACTTCGGGGATGACCCTGATACGTATCATCTTCTAGTTTCCATTGAGACGATACACCCAACCGTGATCTGTATCGTTATTTTGATGTTTTCGGTATCGTACATGGATCAGGGGTTGAACTGTTGGCACAGCGACTACAGTTCTGCGTTTGGGTTGTGTGTAGGCGCCTCCTTCCTCCAGTATCATTGGCCTCGGCCAGGTGCCGGCCATCATAGGCACAACCTCCCTGGTTCCGGCATGGCCAATCCCAAAAGCAGAGTTAATGCCGCGGGCTGTCGGAGAGCCGATGGTGCTGCACGTGAGAAGATGGTGTGTCGATCGGGGAGTTTTCGCTGGTATAGTCCGTGTTCTAGGAGGCCACGATCTTGTAAGACCTAGAGGGAGCGAACGAGATCGGCAGTCAATTCTCCCTGGGGGAGAAGGTGCGGCGAGGGAAGTAGTCTCCGCTCTACTGTAGCTCTCACTTTCCAGGAGGCTAGACAGGCGTCGCTTTGAACAGCTTGATCAGGCCCCCCGGTTTGTCAGAACGAGTGGTGACAGGTGCAGTATCACCCCCGACGGCTCGGCGACGTGAAGTCCGTGGGGGCGACCAGGGACGACCGGGCACGCTTGCAGCAGCATCTCTTTTGTGTAACTAACCGTAGAAGAACAGAGACTACGGGGGGACCGAAACTATCAACGGCAAGGGTCGGCGAAGATACGATCGGTAAGGAAGAAAGGCCCCCTTCACGGGTCGCAGGGAAATGAACGACAAGCAATACGATGAGCACCCAACTTTAGCTAGCTATTATTAACGAGACGCCTGCTGCCACCCTTGTCTTTCCTCCCCGGCTCTATCTGTGGTAGCCCTACTAGCCGTAGCCATGCCTTCTTTGGTCAGCGAACTCATCATACCGCCACCGAAGCCGCCGCGGCGAACGTGATCGAAGTATCTTCGGTGACGTTCATGGACGCTGCTAGAGCGGGGGTGATGCAAGTCGTCGCTGGCAACCCGGCCGACATTCACCCGAACGATATCGCGAGGACCGATTTCTTCGGGCCCGCAGGGACAGACACAGACACGGCCCACCAATTACACTTCGTTATGGAAATGTGTCCTCGTCTTCGATCCCGACCGTGGCCGCTGACACGGGTGCAAGTTCAAGTGAGCATCACGGTTAGCGAGGGAAAGGATGTTCGGTATGAGGTACAACTTGCTTCTCCAGGAGCTGCGGGGGAAAACTCCGAGTGTGCTTCATTGCGAGTTAGCCCTATATCACCTCCCGTGTATGGTAAAACGCCATTTGAATGCGCGGACGTGAAAGATTGTACTGCAATTGGCTGATGTTATTCTTCCTTTAAAACGAACTACTGCACATAACTGGTCAACGAATCATAGTCCCGAGAAAGAGGGAGCGGTGGGCACGCCCCCACAACCACTCACTGACTTGACACGTCTTGATGGAATGTCTTTGGCCTTGGGAAGATGATACGGTTCGGACGACCGATTCTCTTACCCCTCTCGCCTATTCTGGGGCTATTCAACGGCATGCATGCGTGGATATTTTGCGCGTTCAGAGGAGGTCCCTCGAATTTGTGTTCCCGCCGTAAGCTTCGTGTATTTCTGTATTGTACTCAATGAAATAATATCAGGTACACAAGAGAAGGACGGCCGGGCCAACACGAGCGAAGAGGGAAGGCGGTTGGCTGACACCCTCACGTTCGGGTCATTAGGCAGTGGTACCAACAAAGTGTACCCAAAATGTGGAACACATACTTGGAGGACTGCACGAGCGCAAGAGTGTTTGAGCCCGTGGCTGCGAGAGAGAGACGGGATAGATAATGCGGCGGGGAAATGCTGTCAGCGCTCATGGCCCGTCGGTGTTTCGTACACAAGACCCAGACCCAGACGATTCACGGGTCGGGTATATATCTATCCAGTAAAAAAACGGTTTAACAAGATGTAAGCAGGGTGGGAGTTGCTAAGGTCGCAACTTCAGATCCTGGGCGGATGGCATGAGGCTCGTGTCACGGGCCTCACTGAACCCGAGGAACTAGACTAGACTTTGTATTGGTTACGGAGTAAGAATTCCGGTAAGAAGATCATCGTCTATATAAATAAAAGTGCATAAGTTCTGTTTGGGCCAGATGGAGATCACCTTCGTAAAGGGTCCGTAAAGGGTCCGAACATACAAGAAGAATATTAGTAGGGCAATCCAGGCAGGTTACTAAGGTAGTAGCGGTCCGATAAAAGACACATTGGGAGCAAGAAGGCGCTTTAACTTCGCTCTCACTTTGTTTCAGGTGTCTCGTTTTTTTTCGTTGCTTGCAGAAAAATGTTGATGGTACGATACACAGCATGTATTCTTGCTACCTAGGCGTGAAGGATGCGGGGAAATAAGGAGCACCACGGTGTCAAGTTTGTGCTCTCCGAGAGGCAAGCCAACGCGTGCTAGAGAGGCTCAGAGTTCCAGTATATATACCGAGGTAAGGTGCAAGCCTTGTATGTAGGCTAGACTACAGTATGCCCTCGGCCGGGGCGAAGAGGGATGAGGGATGAGAGATGAGAGCTTCCCAATTCCCCAAGAATTCGTTGCAATTCCCAAAGAATGACCCAAGAAATATACATTCTGACATGGAGACCACAACTTTCGACCAGCTGCCCCGCACAACACATAACCAGCTGCATGCAACCAGCAGTATATCCTCTCATCCGACCTCTCATCCCGTCGTTCGAGCTCCCCACAGGATCAAGATCAGCCAGTCGAAAACAGTCAGTTCCTAGCGAGGAACCGTGAGGGGCCAGGTCTGGTCTGTCTCTGAATCCCCTCCCCAGCGGGATCGATCGCGTCACCATGATGAGGTACCAGTCCTCTTTGGGTGCTTGTGTCGTTTTGATTTCACGGACCACCGCCGTTGTTGTTTGTCGAGTCCGTCACGGAAGACTGAAAACGCCGCTTGGGCCTTGCGCCAATTTGCCTAGCTAGGGATTTGTCTTCAAGACCAGAGCATGACCAATGCCAACCCTGATTTGGATTTCAAGTTTCAAAGCCGCCTCCTGCAGCAGTATGGACAACACACAACGGCGCTCTCGGCGCTCTCGGCGCTCCCGGTGCTCCCGGCGTGTTCTGTAGGGAAAAAACCCAACTCTCTTCGCCACTCACACAGATAGATAATATGTCCCACCAACACGAAAAGCACCTTTCTATCTTCCAAGGACAACATGCAGAGGTGAAATTTGTGATGGCACGTTCAGATCTACTGCTGTCGAGGGTACATTCGAATCTCACCTCACCTGCAATCTCACCTGCACCTCGGGGTAAAAAAATGTTGTTCTTTGTGAATAATAGATTCGGCGCTCGGCAGCATATCATTACGGTCGTGTTGGACCGACACACGTTGTCGTATTGGACCGACACACGACTTTGTAACAGCCACCCACGGACCTGGATCTCCGGAACTCCGGAACTGCTGGCCGTCAGCAGCAGTGGTAATGGCGGCAGCTACGTATGTAGTCCAATTTAGGTCCAATTTGCGGAGTGTGGGGCCGCTGCTCTATTCGATCCTAATCTATTCCTCGGTACATACGCATACATGTATCCGGAATACGTATTTCAAGATGATCTTCAAGACTGGTTGGTGCATCTGTTCCCCCGGTGGAGTGTCAAAATAAATGCTGTTGTCGGATTCGCTGTGTGGCCGGCGAATATCATACGATGCGGAAGAAGTTCCTTGTTCAATCCGTCCACGCCGTCCTTTCCCGAAACGTGCAGCTCATATTTTCTGTCATCATGGACACGGCGTGGGAGAATGTTGGAGATGCTCTTGGTCGTTCTGCTGGGACTCTCATCGTTGTCGGTTACCTCCGCAGGTGGGTGGGTGGGTTCGAGCAACATTGGGGAACGCCATCGATGGGTGTACTGCTGAAGTACTGTACCACGTGTTCCCACCAAGGGCCAACTCGTCTCGGTGGTCAAAACCATAGCACAGCTCTCAAACTTTCCTTGTTCCGCCACACATGGTAGTAGCAGAGCAGTTGAGGCAGCCAGACACCTCATCATTGTGATGAGGTGTCTGGCAGCCTCAACGGCTCTGCTTCTACTATGAGACGAGGATCAATGAAAGTGAGCGACCAGAGCGCTTGAATGGACAAATGAAATTAGCTGGCGTTTGTACGGTACACGTCGGATGCTACGCCTACTCGCAATCAGACGGCCGCTGGAGCTTGCCTCCAAAGAGCCCAATTCGCCCGCAAATCAGAGGAATCACAATTCCCTTATCGTCGTTCTAGGACGGGCGAGGGTATGTGTGGGAGCGATGATGTGTAGATGTTGCATTTGTTTGACCTACCTGCAGACTTGCTGACTGCTGGATCCTGAGAATAAATACCATTGA